AGATAAAAGGACACTACAGGGGCTATGCCTATAGAGGGCAAAGCAAAACTGCAGCATGTATCATTTGATTTGCTACACCAGGTTTTCACATGCCTTGTTTTAAAAAGAATTGCTTTTTTTAAATATTAGCTGATTTAGGAAACTGCAAACAAATTCATTTCCTAACAACACTAAATAGATATTCCTGTTTGAATATTAAGTTTGGAGACAAATTCAAGTGATATATATGATTTGTAATATCCTTACACTATGTATCACTATTTACAAATAAATAATTTAGCCATCTTATTAAACATAACTAAGATTTGTATCTTTTATAGAAGGCCCTTCTTTGTTAGGTTGCCTACATATATTGAGTAATACAGTGCTATAGTAATAATTTTCTAGACAACAAAATGCTGTAAGTTTACAATTAGGACATGTGCAGCAATATACTCCTTACGGTTGCCTGCAATTTGCATTGCTTCTGATTCTGGAATTACTTTATCATCTTCTTGAGTAGTAACATTGACAGTCAATCTACTCCCTCTTTAAAGCTGTCAAAATTACTGACCTCCACAACACTTACTAAGAAATGGATCCTGCTATAATTAGAACTTATTTCCAAGTAAATGGTTCAAATTATATTGCATATATACTTCAGTTTGAAGTGCTTACAAATATAAACTTCCAAAAAATTGGTTTAGATTATTCCTTCAAACCTCAGAAAATTATGCACTGGTATTATTCAGATAATATCTTGTAAAATCAGATCACACTCAATAATGTTTGAGAATGCATTGCAAGTTAGTTGAAATTTATTATTCCCTTAAGAAACACACAAGAAGTTTTTTGCACTACAAAAAAAGTTATTGAAAAAAGCAGGATTACTGCCTCTTAGCAGCTCCAAATCTTTATTTGTAAAATTGAAAGAAAACAGCCACGTTTTGCAAACAATGCAGATATTGAAGGGCAAGAGGAATTCAAACACATACAGTCTTGTTAGCTGGGGGAAAAACTCTGCTGAAATAGATTTCAAAAATTTTCCTTGGCTTGACATGCAAAATGTTGCAAAAGAGTAATTTCCATGGAACTATTAACAACAGGGGTCATTTACTTCCAAATGCTCACCATGTAATGATTTTAAAATCCTAACATTACTTAGGTTTAGTCCTCTAACCAATTACATACTGAAAGAAGATGTAAATCCTGCAATCAAATGGTCTACCATAACTGGATAATGTTTCCAGGTTTTCCAATAGAGAATAAATATGTAATCATTAGAATAAAATACTGAACATGTTCTTATAAAAGCTAATTAAAAGCTGAATGATATGCAGTTTTAAGTTTGCAATGGATCCATTTTACTAGTCATAATCTACTTATTCTGGGGATTGGTAAAGTTCCAGGAGATTGGAAGAGAGTAAATGTCACCCCATTGTTAAAAAAAGAAAGGAAGACAACCTGGGAAGCCACAGACCTAGAGACTTATCAGTCTGACATCTACATTGGAGTAAATCTTATTGTTAGCATTAACAAGATCCAGCACGTTTGCCTGACATATAGCTAATCTATTATTTGACAGACTAGGTAGGTCAAGGGAATGCTGCAGACAAAATGTACCTGGACCTCAGCAAAGCCTTCAAGTCTTGCTTAAATTCTCCTTTACAAAATGGTAGATAATCTGGATGAGGGAAGCTGTTTGCAGATGACACAATAGGTAGCAGTAATATTTTGATGAAAGAGAAAATTCAAAAAGATGTAAACAGGCTTGAGCCTGTTGAAATAAATAAGATGGATTTTTAAAAAGGAAAAATGTAACATCCCGCATCTATGGAATAGGCTGCAAAACAAAGTTAGGAGTCCTTCAAATAGAGGCTGCATTGTCATCTGTTAGAAATGTTCTACGGCTCCTGCAATGAGCAGCAGACTGAACTAGTTGACCTCTAGTCCTTTGAATTCTATGGTTCTACAACATGAGCAGATGGCTAAAGTGCTTTCAGAACTGCACTCTGACAGAATATAGTCGAGGTAATCTATGAGCTAACAACACTCTGTATGTAGTTAAACATGTATATTAGCTTTCAAAATGGCAATGCTGGTTGTGAATATATATTAAATGGGGAGAGGGGAGATATAGGGAACTAAATTGGCAAATCTTTCTTTATCCTAAAATGGTCAAGATCTAAAAAGATTTTCCTTGGTGCTTTACTCAAATATTTAATAAAATTTCTTAAGTGCTTGATGCAAGCATGTATCTGTAGAGTGAGAAAGAGTCCTCTAAATAACCAAAATAAATATTAGATATTTATAAGTATAAATATTAATGCTTAAGAGTGTACAGAAGTAAGAATCTTAAGTTAAAAAACAGAACATCAAATAAAAATTACATAAATTGCATTTTAGGAAACTTCTTAAATCTGATAATCTACTAAGATATTGATAGTCAGTTTATATCAGTCAGAACCTTTAAAATTACTTTGTTTCTGAAGCCACTATAAATAAGAATTTAATTTTATTTGCAGAGAACACTGCAAATACCAGTCCGATTCTCTGGATATCTCCTATCAACAACAAAAAAATTCCAGCTATACTTCTCCTTAGCTTATAAAATCTGAAACTATGTATATAAGGTGGCACATTACACTATATCAATTGAGCATTCATCACATAAATACAGATACTGTAATTGCATATGAATAGCTAATATATGTTGAAAAATAGGGAACGCTGTTTTAATCAGTAGCTATTTTTCAATAAATGTAACTAAGGAGACAATAGCTTGCCAATTTTGAGTTTTAAAAACATTTTGCAATTTTAGAACTGAAGAAACTTCAGAGAGAATAGAGAAATGGAAATGGAAAACTCCATAAACATGCTAGAATGATGAAAATTAAACTAATTTAAAACTACTCATTAGTAGGTTTTTGTTAGCATAAAACTGTAGCAAATCAGTTTATAATTAGTAAAATAAAAAATATGTAACATCTTGGCACACGTAAGTCAAATATGTAGGTAAAAGTAACTTTTAGGTAAAACACCAGGGCACATTAAATTGGATAGTGAAAACACTAACAGCAGTAGGCAATTATAGACAGAGAAATCAGGAGCAATATATAATATAGCACACATACAGTGTATACTATAGATTAATAGAAAAGAACATGAAAGTAAATTTTGTTTTAGCAGCAAGGTCACAGAGAACATGACTATCGTCACTTTTATTACTTGAACAATATTGAAACCTGTGGCTCTATTAATTACAATGATAAAACAGTTGAGGGGAAAGATTGGGTCTATAATAGGAAGAAAAATAGCATATGTGTACCCCTTCTGCTTGAAATAGCCAATAGAAATAAACCAGAAACACCTCCAAGAACAAGATACAAATGATTAGGTGTCAATTCTATGTTGAGATAAAAGAGCTAGTATGACAATTATGTGCCTGAACAAAATACATGAGTTAGATCCCCCAATATACATTTTAAATTAAACCAGAAACTGAAAGACTCAACATAGTTTCAATTGAATTATTTCATTAAAAAAAGGGTAGCCAGAGCACTGGAAATACTTTCAAGTCAAATTTTAAACATATGTATTCATATGTAATTCATGTGCGGGATTATCTTCCCTTTAACAATTCCTTCATGCTTAAATTCAAGCAGTTCTATGAACTTCATTTTGGTATCAGTTATTCTTTTAAAATTTTAAATCTCTGATTAAATACATCTATATAAAGAAAGAAACCATATCTGCATACCTTAATATATTGTTCTTGTATCTATCAGAAATAATGTCTTGCACAACAGCAGAAATGTAGGTGAGAGTCCACTAGTAACCAATGTTTAAGTATGTTACCTAGAATATGGCAATGTTTTATGAAAGCAAAATACCCAGTACCATTCAGTATCTGAGAGCTGCATTCCTAAGGAGAAATCACCTTTTTAAAAGGTGGAGCAAACCACCTTGGCATTTTTGACAGATATGTCATTCCAACTTTGTCTCTCATTTTCTTCTTTCAAAGAGGCTGGAAAAGCTTGCTATCCAAATTGACAAAGCCTTCATAAGATAATAAAGACTTCCTCCACCCATTCACATACCATATACAGATTTTTTTTAAAAAAAATACACAATATATTTATTATTCCTCAAACTGAAGACAAAAGAATATCCTCTATCAACTATTAAACTTTACCAAAGTGATGTGGGATACTATTCTGAAACCACCCACGGAGTTTTATGGCATTTTATTTCGGGGATATGATATTAACACAGAAACCCCACCCAATCAGTTTCTGCATTTAGATCTTAAATAGGTTCCTTACTCAAAAAGATAAGAGAATCTGTTCAAGAGCAACATGTTGCAACCACCTTTTGTTATAGGGGGAAGGGAAGGGACCGGAATGGACTGAAAGAAACAGACCTGGGGGAGAAGGAACTGGGAAAGAGATATGAATAAAAAAAGACAACCCAGCCACAAAGTCAGGCTTTTAAAAATGAAAACCAAAACCAAGCGATGTTTCCCCCTTTTCAGAAAGGGTATCTTAAACATGGTTATTGATTATATCGTCTGTTTTTACTGCGGAAGGCTCCTTCTAGGCAGCTCGAGGGAGGAGGAGAAGGAGAAAGACACACACAGGGAAGAGAGAGAAAAAGAAAATGGCGCAGAGACTAAGTCCCGACCGTCGACAAGGCGACTTTCCGGGGCGAATAGAGGCCCAGGAGAGATTTTTAAAAAACAAAGGAAGCCTGATCCGGGGTCTCAATTGTCCTCACTACGGAGAAAATATGTCAGAAAGGCCGAGGGTCTTAAGATTTCGGAGAATTAGGAACCTCGATAGGAACAATGGGGCCGGTTAGCGAGGAGACGGGACTTAGTCTCTGGGACGCCATGTCTGTCCTTTACTATCCTTAGCAATGAGAAGGGAGAAAAAGAGAAAGCGGGGGCAGGAAAAAAAAAACAAAACCCGATCCCACCCCCCACCCCCCCACTTTTACAAGGTTAGGGAAAAGGCACTCACCATTCGCTCGGAAACCTGGATCAATCTATTATTGAAAAGGAAAAAAAACGGGGAAAATACGTTTTAAAAGGCATCCCAGGACCAAGGAATGGTTTCTCACACACACAAAAAAACCTACGTGCATTTTTAAACAAGCTAGCCTGGGTAAGGGGAAGAAATCATTCCTAAGGACTAAGTACATCAATAACACGACCCCCCCCAAAAAAGGGGGGGAGAGAGAGACCGAATTGCGAATTTACCCCCACCTCCCTTCCCCCACCCCCACCGAAGTTTTGCCCTCCAGTTTTAATTGCCTTCCTCCTCGTGCGTAGCTCTCAATTCCCAGGTTTCCTCAGACCTCCCTACCTTCCCCCCACCCCAACCCTCTTTTATGAGTCCCCCCACCCGATGTCCGGCAAGCGGAGGGAAGTAATCGCCGAAGACAGAGAACTGGCCACCTTAAGGACCCTTCCCCCCCCCCTTTAGGGAATGGAGGCCAGTTTAATCAGGGCTTATTGGAATAATACGCAACTTAAAGGGAACCCCGGAGAGAAGGACGGAGGGGGGCAGAAAAAAGGCCCATGATTAAGGGCCCATGGACAGAGCCAAGGAAACGTGACTTTTCCCCCCCTTCACAAAAAGAAACCTCTGTAGAAAACCTGGGAGTAGCACCCCCGTCCCCCCCAAGTACCTAGCAAGATTGTACCAGGCCTGAAAATATTAATATTAAAATATCGTCTTTCTGAGAACGGCTTAAATTATGGGCATAAACCTTTCTTCTTCTCCACCATCCTCCACTTTTTCCCCTCAAACGGGAGAGGGGAAAGGCCTAAATGTCCACAGCCTTTTCTTTCTCCCCCCCCCATTAACTACTAGAAAAACGAGAGCTCCCCCTTACCTGGGAGTCGTTATGCAGCTGATCCCCACTCATGCCTATACCACGGTCGTAAGCAAGAAAAACCCGGGGAGAGGGAAGGACGTGAGGCCAAAGGGAAACCACAGCTCCCTAAACAGCCCAGTCAGTTGTGTAACAGACTAAGTCCTCATTTCCATCCACTGCGCAGGCGCCGCGACTTTTAAACGGTGGGGCGGAGCTAAATGAAGCTTCGGAGGCTAGACCACAGATCCGACGTAAGAACGCCCTCCTTTCCATAACCCAGCCTATCATCTGCCTCTCCTTCAATCAGTAATATCTGTGCTTAGATTTGCATGTAGGCCACGCCCGCCAGCTCTTGGTTAGCCCGCCCCTTCCTACGTAGCCGCGCCTCTTCCTTCTCCGCCATTTACGAAAAATGCCGGTTACATTTCCCTCCTTCCCTTGCTTCCGTCTGCAAAAGCCGGGTTATTATTTACATATCCGGTCACGCCCCTTCACTCGCCGCCAATAAGCAATAAGGGGAGGTTTTGGAATGAAAAATTACAAGCCCCTCCCTCTTTATTGCTATCTGAGGGAGATATTTTCTTGCGGCACATTTATACGAGCTCTAGCACGAGTACCCTACGCATGCGTGTTTTTCCTTTTGGAGACGCACTTAAAGAAAAGCCAAGTTTTCAACGTGCGAGGTTTACTGTTAGGGATCTCGAGGTAGGTATGGAGATGACGTAGAAGGACTATCTTGTTATTTCGGTGGTTATTTCTTGTTTGTTCCTGTCACAGTTACAAAAATAAAGTCTGGATATATGAACATTATTAATATATAAAGTCGGGTTTGGAGTCTGGCTAAATTTAAACTGGATTTGATTATCTGAATGTCACCTAGCTTTATGAACTCTCTTAAATAAATGTGCAAAGGTTCATGCTGCACTAGAATTTCTTTCCGAACAAACGTAATCAGTGCTGGAAATGTGTTGTTTTCAGACATGCTGCTGGTGGAGAGTTGATTCAAACTGATAAAAAATATTTAAAGAAATAAGAACAAAAATATTAAAAATATTTAACTGTCCAGATTGCATTATTATTTTAAATGTTAAGAATGATTGTCAGTAGAAAAGTCCAATTATGATCAAATGTGGCTAATAAGTACAGGTAGTCCTTGACTTACTGCAGTTCATTTAGTGACGTTCAAAGTTAATCACGGCACTGAAAAAAGTGACATGACCATTTTCAAACTTTTAACCTTTGCAGCAGCTCCATGATCATGGGATCAGAATTCAAATGTTTGGCAACTGGTTCATACTTCTGACCGTTGCAATGTCCTGAGGTCATGTGACCTGACAAGCTAAGTCAGATTCACTTAACAATGTTATTAACTTATCCACTGCAGTGATTCACTTAACTGTGGCAAGAAATGTCATAAAATGGGGCAAAACTCATTTAACAAACGTTTCACTTAACAACAGAAAATTTGGCCTCAATTGTGGTCGTAAGTCAAGGACTACCTGTATGCATATAATAGCAAGTGAGGTACAATCTTATGTATATTTTCACAAAACATTTCCTCATTCTAGACAGTCCTGGGTGCCAAGTTTTAACAAGAATGTTAACCAATTGAGAGTCTGATATGCAGAAGAACACATTCAAGAAAGCAGGTTCTTTGATGAAAATAGAAAAAAGCTGAATATTTTTAGTCATAAGAAGACATAATAGAAGGGGGGAAAACATATTAAATTAGAAGACATTTCCTAACCTTAAGAATTATATGACTTAACAAGCTGTCTCAGAACATAGTGAGATATTTTTCCTTTGCTGCCAATATGAGGATAATTTGTCAAGGAAGTTGCCATTTAATGTATCCCAACTTTCCAATCTTGGTATTGATATCAAAAGTTGCTTCAAATTCTAAACCCGCAAACACACCTTATCCTTTGAGTTGACTTCTGGTGACTGTCTGGACTGCTTGCAATATTTTCAGAGGTGGTTTGCTACGGTCTTCTTAAAGCTGAGAATGAGTGAGCGGCTGAAAAATCACCCAGCTAAGGTAGAACTAGAATTCAGTCTCCTGGTTTCTAGTTTGGTGCAGTTAGCCACTTACAGTAAAATAGCTCTCTAAGTTCTATTGCTCTACTAAATGTTCATGTAATGCTAGGGAAGATGGCATGCTTCATTGCTACTGTGCATTTACACTAAGTGTTCAAGTGTTTCATACTTACAAATATTATGTGTACATAATACCACAAAAAGGAAAGATGTAATGGCTTTCTTAGATCACCTTGTTGTTGTTTTGTTATGGTAAGAAGTGATCTAGTGGTTTCAAAGTAATTATATTTGCCGTTATTTCTATGCCAGGTATGGAATGACAGGATTCTATGAAGTAAGATAATTGTTTTAAAATTAAATTTACCAAGCACAGAATAATAGCTGAGGTTATCCAAGCTGTCTAGCAGCTGATTTACATTGCAAAACCAAAGAAAGTGATGTCTTCTATGCAAAGAAAATTCTCTTAGTTCTGCAACCAGGAAAACAGATCTAATTGAAGAGAATATCCCATATTGCTCATATTGATGCTCAGTCTTCAAATAAATATGTAATATATATGTAATATATACAGAGCAACAAATGGAATAAGAACTAGTAAGCCAAAGAAATGCATGAAGATGAGAAAAAGAATCAGCTAAAATTAGTTTATAGTAACTTCATTCAATACATTTTTTATCCCTTTCCACATTTGCAGTTATTTCTACCATATTGGTACACTGATTGCTTACAATATCTTTCTCACCTCTTGTTTGGAGAATCTCAGGAACTCCATTTAACAATTTCTAATTCTTCATCATCTTCTAAACCAATTAATTTTTCTGCATATATTTGTGTTTTAATCTTCATTCATTCTATGTTCAAAATATCTCAAGATTTTTTATATAAAGTCACATGCCTTTATACTTAACTGCATTTGCTTTATTGAAAGTTTCTCAACCACCCTCTTTCCTTGATACCCCATTCCCGCTGCATTCAACATTTCTGATACACAATACTTACCTAACATTTTAGTTTCCTTTGACAAATTCTAATTCCTTACAAGTCATTACTCTTCCCCCAGCACTGATTAAAATTGGTCTATCCATTTTTCCATCTTTAACATGGAAAACATTCTACTAAGGTACAGACATTCATTTACTTGCTATAACTCTCCTTTATGTATTAATGTGATTATTCATTTTATTTTCCCTTCAAAGACAATTCTTGAGTTAATTTATTTCATATCTATACTTCTCATGAAATCATGCAGTTGGCTGCCCATCTCAAGTGCAATAGTGTAAATTTGGCAGTGTACAAAATAACCATAAAAACATTTTTTTAAAAATTCAAAAAGTACATTCAAAAATTAATATTATAATCTAAAAAACATTCTCCAACAAAACAACATCAAAAGTATGTGTGTGTTTATGTCTTCAAATATCATTGTTCCAGGTTTTCTTTGATAAGATTCTTTGTAGCTATCTCTGCCTTTATTCCTTTATCTTTTGTACCAATACTTTTTGTGTGTGCCTGCACTGTTAGATAGTGGTCTCTTGCTATGTTCCTTTCCTGGAGTTTGGCACTCGCCCAAAGTCTGGAGTTGACTTAGAGATGATACTTTTATTACAGAATCAAGGAGCTATAGAAAAATAAAGTGATGCTATTAAGTGAAGAATCTAATGGTGTTTATATGCATATCCCTGAATTTAAATTCTGAGCTGTTTTCTTCTGCTCCTTTGCAAACAAACTGCTTTTAGATCTTTCCTGGCACTTGGCCCTTCAAATAGTATTTGATTACAAAACTCTTTATTCCATTTCAAACTCCTTGTTTTGCACCTTTCCAGCTCAACTCACAGTTCATCATTCCATCAAGTAGCCTTCCCTAAGCTGCTTATACAAGCATAACATAACATCATAGCTTTCTGTGGCAATGTGTAACAATTCTTTTTATTCTGTTCCAAGCAGGTTCTAAATCCCCTACTTTACTTCCACTAATCCACATTCAAGGCCTCTTGAATTCTTGTATCATTTGCTAATTCTTTTTGCATAATTCTTTCCAGTCAAATCATACTTTTAAAGTCCTTTGCCAGACATATGTATGAATAAATTTATGCTTAAATTACAGTTTTCAAAGAGACTTGCTCCTGAACAAATAAGGATCAGTCGCTATTCTTACCCATTCTTCCATCTCCAAAAATGGGCTGTATTTTTTCCCATACATTCTCATCTTGTGACAGCCTACTAGATAGCTCAGATCAACCAACAGGATGGCTAAAACTAATTTTATTGAGATTGGCTGTAATAAAAAGAAACTTCTTAGTTTGTTTGTGCTCTTCTTTTTTTTTCTCCTTAGAGTTCAGTGAACCAGAGAGGCCTCTGGCTGATCCACTTCCAAATGTTAACTTGTAGTTCTAATCTTAACTCCATTAGATAGACCAAATCAAGAAACTTCTGCCCATTTATCTAATGCACGTTTCCAAATATATATTTCTGATTCTGGTTCTTACTAGGATGTTACTTGGAACCCTGATACAAACATTCACCAGAGTGTAATGTGACCATCAGAACCTATGGATTTCTAATCTTATTGATTAGAATCTTATACCTTTATTTGTATTTTACCATTTCCAAAGGACAAAACCACCTTCATTCAAATTAAAAATGTCTTTGCCCTGTCTCTTAGTTTCACAGACATACAGCATATTTATTTTACTTACCGTAAAAGGGGGTGAAAATTTAGGTGTGTCTTATATACCGAATGTAGCCCCACCCACCCACTGGCCCCCACCCTTTGGCCTCTGCCTCGCAGTAGTTACCTCCTTGCAAGCAAACAGCAAGAAAAAACAGTGACTTTCAGCTTCAGCACAGCCTAATTAGCACAAGTTGATTAGATCGGCCTCCGACTCTCAGCTGATTTGCTGTCAGCTGTTTTGCACAGGGCTCTGCTGCTTGCTGTAAAGAGGTAAATTGCTGGGGCAGATATTTTTTTCCCTTGTGTTAATCAAGCTATGCTGAAAACGAAAATGAAAGTAAAGCAGGCTGTTTGCTGTTTGCTGCAAGGAGGCAAAATTGCTCAGAGGCAGAGGGAAATTTCTTTTTCTTCTTTTCCTCACCAAAAAAGGTAGGTGCGTCTTATACTCTGGTGCGTCTTATACTTCAAAAAATACAGTACTTATTTATTTCATTCTTTTTATCATTCATTCCTCTTTGAATCCAAGTCACTATTTTCTGTATGATATTAGATGGATACATAGACATGACCTCTGCCACTTGTTATAGGCTTGATCAATTGAAGCTTTCACATAATGTTTAGATATAGAAAGTACACACTTATAAGCACAATTCCCTTTTAATAGTAATGACAATACAGGTCAATTTTTATATATTTTAGCTAACATGGTTACAAATACCACCAAACTCTACTCTAAGCTTACTTGTAGATGTTCTGTGCAAATTTCTCTAAACCCATCAAGTAGCAGTATATGCAGAGTAAGGACTTTGTTTGCTCCATCATTAACTTATGGAGTAAGCAACATTTTTCTCTTTAGCAAAGAGAAGGTGCTATGTAAACATGACACCATGGAATTAGTGGGCTATGAGAAACTCAAGTTGTTCTTGTCTTTGTGCAGTAGGATTATTAAAAAGACAAGAAACATCTCAAGATGTGACTTTATAACATACCAATATAT